GGTTTAGGGTTTAGGGTATATTGTAGCTCAAGTTTAAGGTAGGTTCAGAGTCGAGGACTAAGCATGAACTGCGTTTCGGTGGAGGATGATGTTGAAACATCCTACCTTGCTGAAACCGTCTCGTCACCGAACATCCCTCATAACCCCGTATATCCCTACCAAAACACTCATGCAACCCCGTGAAGCAGGAGAATCCTGGAAACAAGCTCGATAACCACAAACCCTAAACCCCTGCACCCTGANNTGAATACTTAGAATAGGGTTGTGGGGGTTCCTTATTCTAATTATGGTATAGTATACCCCAAACCCTATTCTAATTATCAAGGCCCCGAAATTGAACCCAATCCTTAGAACACGAAGCCCTGAACTCCCTGAACCCTACCTGAACTTCTACACCCTGATCAACACCCGATCTGCGCCCAAGGTGCCAGTCATGTCTGTAACTTTCGCTGTGTCCCACCTGAGCTTCTCTGGCCGTCCCTATACGCTTGGAAGATCTTTCCAAGTTTATCATTTTGTGCACTCTAAACTCTAAACCCTAAACCCTCCTTGAAGGCTTAGGGATAACCTTCACATTGGCTTCCGGAGGTGTTGAATGAGCTGATTCGGAACCCTGAACCCTAAACCTCAAGCTAAGGTTTGTCTGAATCCCTGAGCCCTTAAAGAAAGTTAAAGTAGGGGCCTTAATAATTAGAACATGGTTTGGGGCGCAGCCTGGCCACAAATCCAAAGGCTGGTTGTAGGAGAGCGCCCGCCGAAACATCCCACGCATGTCGCGAACTGCACTGACATTCCAGGAGCTGAGCGCATGGTTGAAGAACCTTAGCTCGGTCTAAGTTTAGGGTTTAGGGTTTAGGGTTTAGGGTTGGTCTAAGAGTAGGGATTAGGTTTATGGACAGCGAATTCAGCGTCTTGGGCCAGGTTTTCACCAAGCCCCGGAGGATCAATCTTCGGTTTTAGAACCAGGATATTATGTTAGTGTTCAGCGGCTCGCCAAAAAATATCGACGGCACCACTCCAAACAGTAAAAAGGTGCCCACGCGCCGACTCGGTAACCGAAACCCTTTAAACCCTAAGCACTAAACCACAACACCGGCCAGGCAACTTGGCATCTTGGAACATGCTTGTCATGTTCTGAACTGCTGAGGTGTTCCACAAGAACAGCGGCTGCTTGAAAGAGCTGGCCCCCTCGAACATGAAGCTCCTTGGTGTGCCGGAACTGCAAATCTTACGTCCGAATCACCAACACCCGCAACCCTATTTTAGGGGTTAGGGGGTTTAGGGTTTAGGGTTTAAGGTTTAGGGTTTAGGCTTTAGCCAATATTCTAGCCGTCTAAACGACTTTTCTAATCTCCGATGGACGCCTCAGCAGGAGTCGGAGTCGAACGTACTTCGATCCGCACCGCTCAGATGCAGAAGCAAGTATGCATGCCTGTGAGTATGCAGGCATGCAAGTTGTGTTATGCCATGTTTCGCCATGCTATGCTATGCCGTGCTATGCCATGTTATGCTACGTAACGCTGTGGTACAATGCGGTTGGACAGGCGACAACTCGACAGGCGAGCTAGGTCAATCGTGGCGATGTACGTTCGCAGATACATCCATGGGGTACACGCATACAAACTGACTCACTTGCACGGGGAGTTCGTGTTGAGTGCCGAGGCTCATGTCTGTCACCCGCGACACATCCCAGTGCATGAGAAGGTGGTCGAAGGCAGTAGCACCGCTGAACCTTTCCCGATGGGATTTCGGGCTGTTGAGGTTTGGGGGTTCCTGCTACCTACGGAACAAAGCCCAATAGCCTGCCAGAAGCACAAAAACTACGAATGAAAACTCGTGTTAGCGGAACTTGGCAGCATGCTCCGCATGGATGTCACAGCGGATGTAACCCAACGCCCGATCGGCCGGTTGAAAGACCGAGCGCCCTTGAACATAGAGCTCATGTCCTCAAGTCCGTTGTGATTTAGGCCTTAGGGGTTTAGGAACAGGCTTTTGTTTGCTTTGAGGGCCTTTTTCCACAGTACCGTGTCTGCGGGGGTTTAGGGTTCAGGGTTTAGTTTCGCAAGCCTGAGGGTTTAAACCATACCTATAGTCTCCACTGTCGTTCCTTTTTGGGGATACTCTAGCAACTCCTTAATATATAGTTGGTTAGACCAAAAAAAGAACCACAATGGAGACTATAGGTAAACCCTGATTGTTCTGTAACAGGCTGATGCCCAGACCTTTTGACATCCCTTAGTTAAAGGCTTACATATCCTTAGATTACTGGACTTTGAAGTAACCAGGGAGAAAAAAGTATAGACTTTTATTTCAAAATGGTTCTCTTAAGGAACAGGCCCCCAAAAAAACGTATTCAAGTATGGTACTCCAGAACCCAGATTATAATAGGATTCCCAGTGCGAATTGAAGTTTACTCGTTACGGGATCTTGGAAGGTCTGAGAAATTCTGGAAGTTTGCTTTTTTGAGGGTTCAGGGTTTAGGCTTTATAGGGCTTTGGAGTTTAGGGTTTGAGATATTTGGTTTTTAGGAGCGTTTAGGCGAAGGCATCTGACCGTCACCCCATTGTCGTTGCAATTGGAGACTTGTCAAAACTCGTCCTAAGGGTCTATGTGCCTACCTTTTTGGGCCGAACATGTGGCTCCCTCAGAGCAACTCTAAGGCGAATGCTAATCTATACGCTATACTCTACAGATACATGTACCCTTACTGTTGATGATATAAATCCTGCATTACCTTAACGACCCTAAACTATGGGAATTATGGCATATTCCTTACTATGGGTAATGCAGGTTTTATATCAT